AAAAAGACCTTAAAGAATTCATGCAGAACTTTGAACTGGAAGCAGAACATCGTACCGAATTTACTTTTTTTTTCAAAAAAAAATTTTTTTACATTTTTGAGAGACAGAGACAGAGCACAAGTGGGGGAGGGGCAGAGAGAGAAGGAGACACAGAATCCGAAGCAGGCTCCAGGCTCTGAACTGTCAGCACAGAGCCCGACGTGGGGCTCGAACCCACAAACCGCGACATCATGACCTGAGCCAAACGCTCAACCGACTGAGCCACCCAGGCGCCCCTTACTGAATTTACTTTTAAGAGTGGTTAACTAACTTGAGACGGATGCCACGTTAACACCTTTTCAAACTACCAGGTTTGGGGGCTGATGGCTTTCGATCTTTCTTCTGCCAAGTCTTACTTTCACGAGTTAGCCGGACTGCTCTGCCCCGCAGGCTGTCCAGTGGATGATGCCCCTCCCCATTAGGAGCACAAGGGGCCTTTCTGTGGAGCTGGAGCTCAGGACGCTGATGCCTGTAGCCTGGGCCAAAACTATCACAGAGCTGCCCGGTTGCAGTCTACACACCATGTGTCTGAGGAAGAATCGTGCCTGGCCGCTGCCTGAGAAAACAAGTCTTGCCCCCAGCGGAGCAGATCCCCACCTTCTGACTTTCCCCCTATGGGATGCAGTTCATGAAAGCGGAGTCTGATTCAGGGTTGTTATTTTTTCCTTCTAGTTTAGAAATGGGAAAGGAAGGAGACGGGGTTTTCTTGGTAGACCAGAAAGCCCAGCCTTCAAGGTACAAAGGTAGCACTGTCTATGCTGGGGAAGGGCCAGATCTGGGGTGGGGGGAGGAAGGAGGGAGCAGGGGGCAGATCCAGCTGGGCGAGAGCAGTTGGGGTGGGGCAAGGGCGTGTCAAGGCCATGAAGGTCTCCTAGTCCATGAATGAGATAGTGGCTTCACAATGCCAAAGGGGCCATTTCTTACGTTTATGCTAATAGGCTGTTTGGGGACTTTGCAAAGCCAGTTTTTTCCCTACCTAAAAGCACTGTCATCCGTTATTTTAGCTTGTAGCTTCTCAGTGATCTCTGAATCAGAATCAGAGTAAAAGGTAATTACCCTGCCCCAGTCAGGGAAAAGAGCTCAGCCCTCCCAAGCCTCAGCCCATTCAGGCCAGTGGCTCTGCTAGCCAGACTGGTTTTGGAGTATTCATTTTGCTTTGGGGACATGAAAGGATGTAACTATAGCTTTATTTTATTAAAAAAAATTTTTTTAATGTTTATTATTTATCTTTGAAAGAGAGAGCGAGCGGGAGAGGGGCAGAGAGGGAGACACAGAATCCAAACCAGGCTCCAGGCTCTGAACTGTCATTACGGCACCCACGGCCACAGCTGGGGACTGCCTGCAGGGGACACTGTGGTGAAATATCCCTGGGTGGACGGGGTCCTGCTTGCTCTGCAGCCCCATTCTGCTGTACCGGACTCCTCTTCCTAACCCTGACTGTGGAACCCACGACCTGTCCCCGAGGTGAGTACAGCTCAGTCAGTGTGGAAATGGAATCCTGGATGACCTTCCAGGGCTCGAATTAAAGATGTGGCTCAGAAGCAACACCTAACAACCTCTAGACTCAGCAGAAAGCCACTGGCACACCCAGCGAGATGTGGCAACCTGGTCACCAGGGACCAGGAAGCACAGGTGCTCGTTGTGCAAACCCCTCTCATTTTAAGTGTGCAGACAAGGCCCCCCCCCCCAGATCCTTCTCAGAAGCTTTCCCGCCAGAGAGCCCAGCCCCCTGTTGCTCATAGTCACGCGTTTTTGCCTTCGGCCACTACCCACGGTCTGGAGGCGGCCGGGACCGGAGTCACCGAGGGATGGGTGCACCCCGCGCCCCTTCCCGTGGACGCTGTGGCATGTGGAACAGCATGCTAAGGCGCAGGGCCTCACCCAGCTCACTGAGGAAGACCTTTGGGGTGCAGGGACCCGGTTGTGGCATTTTCCTCACACCTCACTCGGGCAGCCCCCTGTTGCTGTCCGGTCCCGGGGCTGCTTCCTTCTCCTCAGGCCTAACACAGAAGGAAAGCCAGGGAGCCTGGCTGCTCGAAAGGCATCCTTCAAAGAGGAGAATGCAAGCCTTTCCCAGAAGGTGGCTTTAGCCATTGTCAAGTCGTCCCGAACAGCAGGACAGCTCAGACTAGTAAAAAACTCCGTTCTTTTCGGCAGATGAGAAAAGATACGAGGACGCACCGTTAGACCAAAAGTCACTTCTGAATCTATTCATATGGCTGCTGAGTGCCAGAAAAGGGGCACGGATCCAATCACCCTGGGGGAGAAATGACTGCCAGCTGGAGTGGTCAGGACTAGCTCCAAAAAATAGCAGGTTTAATCAGAGTGAAGTGTCAAGGCAGGGGCAGGCTGCTCTGGGGGTTCCCCAGAGAGTGAGGGGGACAAGCGGGAGGAAGCACACAGAGAGCCCAGCGAGCGGCAGCCCGCCCTGGCTGGGGCCGAGGATCTGGGAGGAGAAGGCTAGCTTGGGGCCAGATTGTGGAGGGCTTTAAATGTCAGGCTAAGGAATTGATCAGGGGAATGAAATGATCAAACAGGTGTTTCAGGAAGATGAATTTGAAGAGAACGTGCGGGATGAATTGGAAAGTCTGGAAGCTCGGCAACAATTAGGAAGCTGCGAGATGAATGAGGCTGTCGTAGTGGTCCTATGTGAGTTGATAAGGGTGCAAATGAGCACAGGGGCAGCAGAAACGGAAAGGGACAGCTGCAAGAGACACTGTTAAGAAAGAACGGATGAGGTTTGCTGCCTAATTGGATTGGGGACCCAGGGAGCGAAGGAATCAAAGATGACACCGGAGTTTTGAGCGTGGGCAACTGGTAGTACAATGAACAGAAAAAGGGAGGTTAGAAGAGCGAGCGGGTTTTGGCAGATGTGAATTCAGTTCCGGTCGCACAGTCCACAGGACACGCGAATGGAAATGTCGGACGCCAGAGCTCAGGCGGGAGAGACGTTATGGCTGGTGGTAAATCTGGGAATCAGATGCAGAGAGGTGATAAACGAAGTTGTGGAGTGAATGAGATCTCTACGGAAAAGCAGAGACAGGGAAACACAGGACCAAGACTGACCTTTGAGGAAAAGTCCACATTTAAAAGATTGATATTCTAAAAAAAATAAAGGACTTCTGTTCCAAAGCCGGGTTTAGAAGTGCCAGCCATACGCTACATGTCTTCACCACGGAAATATCCGTTTAAAGTGTACCATATATCAGTTTGAGAAAGCCAAGCAACACAGCATTTTTATGTCTTCGTGGGAACTAAATTATGAACACCTAGATACGCTCCTAAAACAAATTTGGCTGAAGTAAAGGCTGATATTCATAGCGGGGGTGGGGGGTGGGGGGTGGGGCAAAGGATAAATGATACAGAGAACATAATCTAAAATCAACATAATTGGTGGATCTGATCCCACAAGGATGAGTCAAGCAATGAAAAGAAAAACTCGTGAAAAATACCCTATAAATAACATTTAATTAAAGTAGGTACTCATTTTAACACAAAGACCCAAAAAATTTTACCATATTTGCAGTGCACTGTCTTCCTGACGTGTGAATGCCAACTAATTTATCAAAGTATTTTTAATAAAGGCTACATTAAAGTATAAGTTGGCTCAAACACTTGTGGAGACTAGTCAGTATAGGAAAACTACCTAGAATAGAGTAACCCACGCCAGACTCACAGTATGCAAACAAAAGAGCTTTTCTTTTTTAGCATGTATCTCTAGTCTTTTTACATGTATATTTCCCACATATTATATTTTCTTGATAGTCACAAAATAAAAATATTATAGCTTTGAATTTTTGGACTAAAAGCTGCCATAAGTCCTATAAAGAAAAAAAACCTTTGTCTTAATGTGTTAAAATTTTTCCCTTATTCCCTTTAATAAAGAATGTTAACCATGTAACAATTGTTATTCTGTGAAACCTTCAATAAGTTTTGAAACAGTAGATTTTCACATGTTCTCGTATTTAACATGTTTAATTGACATTTTCTTCTAAAATACCACAGCAAACATGTTCAACATACATCAAAAGCAGTGAAAAGAAACCTCCTTTCCTCTGGACATAGGACTTTCAAAACACAGGAATGACTTGTTGAAAAACAGAATTTACAAATTATTAAAAATGGGATGCACATATAGGACCAAAATGCAGTTACTCAGAAGATTCTAGTTTTGTTTCCAGGTTTACGTAAGGTGACAGAAGTGGTCTCTAATAGGACGTCAATCTGGAAAACAAACACACTTGCTAGCTAGCCTTCAAGGTCCTATTCATAGATATGTAAGAAAATAGAGTCAAGCAAAACTCAGTCACTTCTCACTCTCCAGATATTTTGAACATATCTAAAAAAATTTAAACAGATATTGTATGATCTTAAAAGAGAACTCTTAAAATAACACAGTCAGATTGAATTATTAAAAAGAAAGCAAGAGTTTCTTAATGTCTTCAGCCTTTTAACCTAAGACCCAGATCGTTTAACTCTGTGAGTTAATCTGAGAGCTGACTTCTAAACATGCCAACACTGTCAAACCTCTTTCAATATTATTTAAAAATGCACATGGACTAATAATACATTGCCTACAAGTTGATCTCATTTCTTTACATGTGGGCCTTGGGCTGATCTATAGAACAACAGGGAAGTAAAGAGATAAAAAAGGTGAATTAGCAATTTCCTTGTTTCTTTTTAAGTATTTACACCAAATAATGCGATTGAAAAAATAATTTTTTTGTGGGGAAAAATCAGGTGGATGATTCTCATTTGTAGGTTACAATGAAAAAGGACTCAAATTTCTTAATTAAGGGGAAATTGCACTGTTTTGGGTCAACAAATATCTGAAGGTTTGCAGTTTCACAGACAACTGAAAAATCTGAAAGGTAATAAAAAAAGTGTTTCATAATAGCTAATTTTTCGTTAAATCTAAAAGAGTCTGTTAACACACACATGTATCTTACTTCAAAAGACACAGTGACTCAGAGATGCTTAGATTCAACTCCTGGTTCAATCAAATAAAAGTCCTAATGTTTGGAATTAAACGACACACATTACTCGCCAAAAATCCACAAAATATTCACACCGGATAGACCAAGATTAACTCTCCTATAAAAAGAAAAAAAAAAAAAAAAACTTTTTAGTTGAATTGATTTCCAAACATTTAAGGTCTCTTCAAATAACAAAAACTAGTCTTTACAAGGAATACATATTTAACTGATAACATTTAATGCCATTCTGTAATGAGTTATGTTACATATGGCTTATCAGGTGGACCCTAGTAATAGTAATTGCTTTCTTCACTGGGCTTAAAACCCCAATTTAGGACAAATGCGTTTACAGGGTGTGGAAAATTCAAGGAATATTACAGAATAATTTTAGCAAGATTAAAGCAGAGGTAGTAATTAAATTTTTTACATGGAGGATATGATATAGAGCTGCTAGGTTTCTTAGAGAATTTTACCTATTAAATCCGAATTAAGAATTTACTAATTATTATGGATGCTTTAGTGAATTTGTACATGGGAATTCTTAATATAGCTTAAACTAAACCCTACTTATATATAAACAAAAAGAAAAACCTACTTCTACTCTAGAGAGTACTATACAGTATTCAAAGTACAAAGGAGAGGGCTATAAGAGAAAGAGATTACTCATCTGACAAAGTAAGAAATCAACCTCCGATGTCCCAAACTGAAGAATCAAGAGACAGCCGCATGCCTCTATTATTTGGAACTATAATAATATCAGAAGAAAAAGGCTAAGAGAGTTTCAGGTGGCTGTCTTTAGTGGGCTTGGGGAACAGGGAACTGGTTATTTCTGTCATGAACTTATAGCACCACAGGACTTGTAAAATTATGAATAGTTATTGCTTTTGACAAAAATTTTAAAATATATATACACATATTACAAAAATGCCCTTCAAAAAAGGTCATTTATATATTAATTGGCTTTTCCCATTTCTTCAAGGAACTCTTCACCAAAACTACCAATGAGAGGGACACCTGGCTGGCTCAATCAGTAGTGCATGCAAATCTTGGTATCAGGGTTGTGATGTTGGGTGTAGAGTCCCATGTTGGGTATATTTAAAAAAAAAAGAATCTTAAAAAAAACACACACAAAAAAACCCTGCAAATGCTAAATCTCAATCTGATAGAAAAAAAGTTTTAATTTTGGCTTGTTTTATATGAGGCTAACCAGCATCTTTTTGTGATTATTAGCCATATGCACAAAGCTTTTTTGTGCAAGTTTTTCATGTCTATGACCATTTTCTATATATTTTCTTTCCAATGAATTTATATATGCTCTTTACATATGATGGATATTAGCTTGGACTTGCTATATCTGTTGCAACTATAAAATTTTGTCTCAGTTTGTCATTTAGTTTTAGCTTTAAACTTTATTTACAGTTTATTTGCTGAACAGAACACTTAAATTGTTGTGCAGTTAATTCTGTCTAGATTTTTTCCCCCTTTTGTAAGTAAACCAGTCATCTCATTCCAGTAACTGCACAAATATCTGGCATTGACTGGATAATGTATTTGGATCAATCTGCTGCTGCTTTATGGGAATGATTCCAAATGGACTCTATTTGAGCCACTTGCTTATTTCCTTTAAGTTATAGGATAGTTTTTAAGCATTTGATTGTTTTAGAATGTATCAAGTAGATTAATCAATCATTTAAAAAGTTAATAATTTCAAAGTTTTTCCCTTGGTTAAGGAAAAAAATCTCAAATAAATAAAAGATGTATTAGTTTTAGTTTGAAATGTTTCTTTTCCGCATTTAAGTTGCTCAATAAGATATGCACTTTAAAAATTGTATGAATTCTTCCTGGCCTCTAAGTAAGTCATTACCCCACTAAATATTTCTATCTTATTTTACTTTATTTATTTTTTAAGTAAGCTCTATACCTAACACGTGGCTTGAACTAATAACCCCCAGATCAAGAGTTGCATGCTCTACAGATTGAACCAGCCTCCTAAATACTTCTGAAAATTTTCCATTTTTAAATTTTTTTTTTTTTCAACGGTTATTTATTTTTGGGACAGAGAGAGACAGAGCATGAACGGGGGAGGGGCAGAGAGAGAGGGAGACAGAGAATCGGAAACAGGCTCCAGGCTCTGAGCCATCAGCCCAGAGCCCGACGCGGGGCTCGAACTCACAGACCGCAAGATCGTGACCTGGCTGAAGTCGGACACTCAACCGACTGCGCCACCCAGGCGCCCCTGAAAATTTTCCATTTTTATGTGGACAAAGCGTACCTAGCACTCAACACAAACTTCAAGCTATCATGACAAATCATTAATGCATCAAAATGTCAATTTGGATCTAGAGAGGAAAAGATAAACTTTCAATTAAAACCAAACATTCAAGGGGTGCCTGGGTGGCTCAGTCAGTTAAGCGTCTGACTTGGGCTCATGGTCTTGCAGTTCATGGGTTCTAGCCCTGTGTCCGGCTCTATGTGACAGTTCAGAGCCTGGAGCCTGCTTTGGATTCTGTGTCTCCCTCTCTCTCTGTTCCTCCCCAGCTCACACTCTGTCTCTCTCTCTCTCTCAAAAATAAATAAACATTAAACAAATACTCGCTGTTGATTTAAAATATCTTTTTATAAAAAAAAATTTTTTTTAACATTTATTCATTTTTGAGAGACAGAGACAGAACATGAGCAGGGGAGGGGCAGAGAGAGAGAGGGAGACACAGAATCCAAAGCAGGCTCCAGGCTCCAAGCTGTCAGCCCTGGGGCTCGAACCCACAAGCTTTGAGATCATGACCTGGGCCGAAGTCAGATGCTTAATTGACTGAGCCATCCGGGCGCCCCTAAAGTATTTTTCAATTAATTATTGGCTTCAAAATAGCCCTTCTGAAGCATTAAGTGAGGAATAATTATAAAACATTATATTTATAACATATTCCATATTTCTAATACATATGCATGCACATATTTATAATTAAATACTGCTAGAAATTTTAGGAAAAAGGTCTGTATTTACTGACATGGAAGAATGTCTAAGACAAACTGTGAGATTAAAAAGCAGAGCACAGGGGCGCCTGGGTGGCTTAGTCGGTTAAGCGTCTGACTTCGGCTCAGGTCATGATCTCTCACGGTTCCTGGGTTTGAGTCCCACATCGGGCTCTGTGCTGACAGCTCAGAGCCTGGAGCCTGCTTTAGATTCTGTGTCTCCCTCTCTCTCTCTGCCCCTCCCCTGCTCATGCTCTGTCTCTGTCTCTCAAAAATGAATAAATGTCAAAAAAAAAAAAAGATTAAAAAAAAAGCATAGGATAATATGTTTAGGCACAATACATGTTTAAACAAAATGAAAACTAAAACCCAGATCAACTTATTCCCAGAAAGTAGTCTATAAACATACACTTTTAACTGCTAACATTGGGTACTCAGAGGCAGTGGGATTGAGAGGCTGACCAGACGGGAATTTTCAATTTCTAGTCTATACACTGCTGTAGCATTTAAGTATTTGCATATTGGGCATGTATTACTTTTGTAATTAAAAAATAAGGAAAAAAAAATATTTAGTTTAGATGCTTCACAAAAGTGAGTTTCCTATTTAATCTTTCTTACGTTAAAACATATATGACAATGGGACACATGGATGGCTCAGTCAGTTAAGCGTCAGACTTTGGCTTGGGTCATGATCTCACAGTCCGTGGGTTCGAGCCCCGCTGTCGGGCTTTGTGCTGTCGTAACAGCTCTGAGCCTGGACCCTGTTTCAGATTGTCTTCCTCTCTCTGCCCCTCCCCTGCTCGTTCTCTCTCTCTCTCTCTCAAAAATAAACATTAAAGAAAAAAATATATACATACATACATATATATATACACACATATATACATACATATATATATATGTATGTATATATGTATATATATATATATATGATAAAAGGGGATCCTGCGTAGCTGGGTCGGTTAAGCGTCTGACTTCAGCTCAGGTCATGATCTCATGGCTCAGGAGTTCGAGCCCTGCAATGGGCTCTGTGCTGACAGCTCAGAGGCTGGAGCCTGCTTCAGATTCTGTGTCTCCTTCTCTCTCTGCCCACCACCCCCAAAATAAATAAATATTAAAAAAAATTTTTACATATGCTAGTTTGGATGTAAATTAAAAAAAATAAAATTAAGAGAACTAAAAAAAACTTGCTAGGATTTTGATAGGAATCACATTAAAACCATAGGCTGATTTGGTGAAAAAAAATTTTTTTTGGACTGTTTATGTCTTTTAAAAATCTTTGAATCTAATATGTTTAAGGACAGGAACTTGGCTTTCTCTAGAGCAGTATTGTCCAGTAGAAATATAATGTGATGTCAGTGAAATGCAAACCACATACATCATTTAAAATTTTTTTCTAATTACATTTTTAATTTATTTTTGTTACTTATTAAATTTTATTTATATTTAATTTTATTTATATTTAATTTATTAAATTTATTTGTTTACATTTAATCTTATTTATATTAAAAAAATTTTTATTTTAAGTGGGTTCTATGCCCAACCTGGGACTTGAACTCACGACCCTGAGAGATTGAGTCGTGAGCTCTACTGACTGAGCTAGCCAGATGCCCCCATAATTTTAAATTTTCTAATAGACATCTTAAAATTTTTATAAAAAGTAAAAAGAAACAGGTTTAATGAATTTCAGTAATATATTTCATTTAATCCAATATATCCAATGTATTAATTCAACAGGTAATCAATGCACAAGAGTATTAATGAGATCTTTTGTACCCCCCTTTTTCTTGGGTCTTCAAATTCTGGTCTATATAACATTACACTTACAGAATATCTCAATTCAGATTAGTCCTGTTTCAAATGCTCATTGTCACATGTGATAGATGGCTGCTCTATCAGACAATGTAGTTCTAAAACACATATAAAACAGGACGCCTAAGCTAAACTGAAAAGAGGCATGCATATCGGAACTGGAATGGACCCCAGACATTCTCCACTCCAAGCCTTTCCCTTCACATTTTCTTAACCTCAGGTTTTGAGAGTTCTAGACCTTGCATTACGAGATTTCTCCAGCCTTAACCAGTCCTCCTGCTTCAAAATATTATTTGATATGCTAATATTTCGGATCACCAAAATGACCATATGACAATTCTGAATTTATTGAAACAGGACGTGAGCTTCATTCTAAATATTTAGAACAACAAAGTAAACAATTTCAACTGACCATTTTTCCGTCCCAGTTAATAATATTATGGAATGGGTGCCGACTCAGTCTCTCTAGAAGTATAAACATTTTGCAGAAGGCTGTGTCTGAAATGGGATGGCTTTTGTTTTGTTCTGTTGATAAATTTTAAATTGGCAAGAGCTTGATATACATCCTCAGAGTTGCTTCTTGAGGGACACAACACAACCGTAAAGCCAATGAGGGAAACCAGTAGGGAAATGGAGGTTGGTGAGGAATCAATGGATTTGCCCAAGAGAATAGAACTGGTTAGTGACAGGGCTGAGCTAGTGCCAAAAGCCATATCTCTTGTTCGGTCCACAATCTTTTCAATATATGATGCTGCTTCTGCAGAATCTTAACATGGGAAGAAAAACAGTAAATAAGTTAAGTACTTGCATTTTTAAAGCATCAATACCTACCCAAGCATTCCTGACTCTTTGGTTTTTATGATGTAGAGAAACATTAACAATGTATGAAACATATTATTTCGGCCCTGGAACAAAGACAAAAAAAGACAGCAAGATTTAAACCAAGCCAAGCCAAAGATTATACAAACCAAACAAAAAGATAAATGCAGATCCTATCAATTCACATTCTACTAACTCAGAATTCCGTGTAATTCAGACTTTCATTTGCATGGATTTGTACAGAAACTTCAATGGCCCAAAATATTAACACTTATAAAGCTGGAATATTAAATTTGAAAAAAAAGCAATTAATACTCTCTTCTAGGAATCTGATGGAGAACACGATTTATGATTATAGTCAATATAAAATTTTTTTGTAAAGAAGCTGGTAACAACAATAACTACAAAGGTCATCAATAGAACTAAAGTCTGCAGTTAAGAGTAAGATACCTGAATAGAAATGTAAACTGGTACATAACCTTTTGTATAAAAGTAGTTTGATAATATATTTTAAAAGCTTTGAAAATATTCTGTAACCTAGAATTCCACTTTTGGACTTTAACGAAATTACCCAAAATGTAGACAGCTATATCCATAAAGATGAATATTCAGCAGTATTTATAAAACAAAGATTTAGAACATCCAAAATGTTCAATGGTAGGGGAACAGTTGAATAAATTGTGTTACAATCTTATAATAAACTTAAAACAATTAAGAAAAAAATTTTTTTAATGTTTTTATTTATTTTTGACACACAGAGAGAGACACACAGCATGAGTGGGGGAGGGGCAGAGAGAGAGGGAAACAGAATTTGAAGCAGGCTCCAGGCTCCGAGCTGTCAGCACAGAGCCTGATGCGGGGCTTAAACTCACAGACTATGAGATCGTGACCTGAGCCAAAGTCGAACGCTCAACCGACTGAGCCACCCAGGTGCCGCCCTCCCCCCCCAAATTTTTTTAACACTTATTTTTTGAGAGACAGAGTGTGAGCAGGGGAGGGGCAGAGAGAGAGGGAGACACAGATTCTGAAGCAGGCTCCAGGCTCCAAGCTGTCTGCAGAGAGCCCGATGCAGGGCTTGAACTCACAAACTGCAAGATCATGACCTGAGCCGGAGTCGGATGCTTAACCGACTGAGCAACCCAGGCACCCCATATAATGATAACTTTTTTATAGCCATTAAAAAGTATTTCTATGAAATATTTTTATAGGATGGAAAATTATATTTAAGTTAATTAAATTAAGAAAGATTTTTTTTTTCTACCATTCACTTTAAAAAAAAAATTTAAATCCAAGTTAGTTACATAGAGTGTAATAATGATTTCAGGAATAGAATTTAGTGATTCATCACTTACATATAACACCCAGTGTTCATCCCAACCAGTGTCCTCCTTAGGTAGGGCCCATCGCCCATTTAGCCCATCCCCCTACCCAACGCCCAGCCAGCAACCCTCAGTTTGTTCTCTGTAAGAGTCTCTTACGATGTGTCTCCCTCTCTGTTTTTATCTTATTTTTGCTTCCCTTCCCCTATGTTCATCTGTTGTGTTTCTTAAATTCCACATATGAGTGAAATCATGTGATATCTGTCTTTCTCTGACTTATTTCGCTTAGCATAATACACTCTAGTTCCATCCATGTTGTTGCAAATGGCAAGATTTCACTCTTTTTGATTGCTAGGTAATATTCCATTGTATTCATATACCACATCTTCTTTATACGTTCATCTGTCGATGGACATTTGGGCTCTTTCCATACTTTGGCTATTGTTGATTGCCCTGCTATAAATATTGGGGTGCATGTGCCCCGCCAAAACAGCATTTCTGTATCCTCTGGATAAATACCTAGTAGTGCAATTACTGGGTCACAGGATAGTTCTATTTTTGATTTTTTGAGGAACCTCCATACTGTCTTCCAGAGTGGCTGCACCAGTTTGCATTCCCACCAGCAGTGCAAAAGAGTTCTTTAAGGAAGTTAATTTTTAAAAGGAAATAAAACTACATAAATAATACGATTTCAACCCATAAAATAGCACAGAGAAAAGGCCAAAATGAAATTTACCAAAGGCAATACAACAAAAATGTTAACAATAGCTGCCTTTAAGTAATGGAATGAGTGATCTTTCTTTTCAGAATTTATTTATCATGAGACAAAGTGTGAGTGGGGGAGGGACAGAGAGTGAGGAGAGAGCACGGATCCCAAGCAGGCTCCGCACTGCCAATGCCGAGCCCGATGTGGGGCTCAAACCCGTGAGCTATGAGATCATGAACTGAGCCGAAGTCGCATCCTTAACCGACTGAGGCACCCAGGTGCCCCTGCTCTTTCTTCTTTATACTTTCCCAAATTAAGCATATATTACTTTTATAGTTTAAAAAAGGGACATTTAAGAAACTCATTTTCCCTAATTTAAACAGTTTACCTGTTCCTTAGACAAGAGACTTTAATTTAAAAAATATTATCAAAGCAAGTCACCATGACCTTCCTCAATAGCCATTTCTACATTTAGAAGTAACTTTGGGGGCGCCTGGGGGGCTCCGTCGGTTAAGTGTCCGACCTTGGCTCCGCCATGATCTCACGGTTCATGAGTTCAAGCCCTGCGTCCGGCTCTGTCCTGACAGGTCAGAGCCTGGAGCCTGCTTCAGATTCTGTGTCTCCCTCTCTCTCTGCCCCCTCCAGCTCGTACTCTCTCTTTCTCAAAAATAAATAAACACTAAAATTTTTTTAAAAAGAAGTACCTTTGGAAGATTGTACACATGACGCTGGTAGATTAGCTCATAATGAGGAGGGTTGATAGCACTCTGATAGATGCAAAAAACATTCTCATTTGTCACATCTGTAAAGGAAATACGCTACATTAAAAAACAAGCTAAACCTCTAGATATATCTCATGTGAAAATCTCAACTCATTCTGTTAGGAGGTTTATACCTGGTTTATTTGGTGTCTGAACAAAGTGCTGAGAAGTAAATGTCTTCCCGTCAGGGTACTTAGGATGTGGAGGTAATCTGGAATCAAGGTAGGTGCAAAATACATGCATGATGATCTGAAGATGAGGAAACAATTTTTTTAAATCAGCATGAAAATCTATCATAGATATAAGCCCTTTAAAAACAGTGCTGTTTATGATGACTCCAATCTTTAAATGTTTCCCTAAAGAGAGAACTAGCAAAATGCTTTCAAGTAGTTATATTTATAAGATGAAATCTATAAAATGAAAAGACAAAGCAAGACATTCCAAGTCTTCTGTTAAGTGGATCATTCATACTCATATAGTTAATAATAACAAAAAAACAAGATAAAAACAGACATACATTCTCAATTTGAATATCATCATTTGAAGCTTTATGTTTTCCACACTGACGGTCACTACTAAAAAATAACAAACATGATCTTGAAACTCTTTTTTTTTTTTTTTTTTTTTAAATTTTTTTTTCAACATTTTTTATTTATTTTTGGGACAGAGAGAGACAGAGCATGAACAGGGGAGGGGCAGAGAGAGAGGGAGACACAGAATCGGAAACAGGCTCCAGGCTCCGAGCCATCAGCCCAGAGCCTGACGCAGGGCTCGAACTCACGGACCGCGAGATCGTGACCTGGCTGAAGTCGGACGCTTAACCGACTGCACCACCCAGGCGCCCCGATCTTGAAACTCTTAAACGTTCAAAAACTTTACACTTTTTGATCTCATAAATCTTAATTCCAGGAATCTTTCTTAAAGCCACAATCCCCAAGAATAAACATGCACCATGATATTCCTTACAATATTATTTAAATTTTTTTTTAATGTTTACTTATTTTTGAGAGAGAGAGAGACAGAGCGTGAATGAGGGAGGGTCAGCGAGAGAGGGAGACACAGAATTCGAAGCAGGCTCCAGCCTCTGAGCTGTCAGCACAGAGCCCGATGTGAGGCTCGAACTCACAAACCACGAAATCATGACCTGAACTGAAGACGGATGCTTAACCGACTGAGCCACCATGACGCCCCAGTTACAATACTATTTAAAACAGAAAAACAAAGGTTCCTCCCCTACCACATTTCTCAAACTTTTAGGTCCAACATAGGAAAAGTTAATGGACACTGGGTAATAATGAAAAAATACTTATACAACAAAAGTGAAAAAAAAAAAAAAAAGGGATACAAAATTTTATGTATGGGATAATAACAACTATGATAAAAACATTAAAAAATAGCACAATCTTGGGGCACCTGGGTGACTCAGTCAGTTAAGCATATGACTCTTGATTTTGGCTCAGATCATGATCTTAGGGTTGTGAGATCAAGCCCTGCGTTAGGCTCCATACTGAGTGTGGAGCCTGCTTAAAAGATTTTCTCTCTCCAGGGGGTGCCTGGGTGGCTCATCGGTTAAGCCTCCAACTTTGGCTCAGGTCATGATCTCACTGTTCGTGGGTTTGAACCCTGCGTCGGGCTCTGTGCTGACAGCTCACAGCCTGGAGCCTGTTTCAGATTCTGTGTCTCCCTCTTTCTGTCCCGCCCCCACTTACACTCTGTGTCTCTTTCTCTCACAAATAAACATTAAACAAAATTAAAACAACAACAACAACAACCAAAAAACCCCACCAAACTATTAGCAGTGGTTAAGATAGATGCTGGTACAATTTTAAACTTTTACTTCTTAGTTTCTAAGTTCTTTTTAATATTTATTTTTATAATGGAAAAATAAAAGCACATAAATCCAATTAACATGGGAAAATGTTAAACTGAGAAAACAGAAGTAGTGACTTACAGCTGAGTCAGTGGGCAGGTCTGTATCCCACTTCCGTCCTTTGAAGTCTCCACCTCTATTCCATCTAAATGAACTCATACATCCTCCCTGAGAAAGTTCTGAAGCAACAAAGATGAAATTTAAGAAGCCAAAAATGAAAAAAAAAAAAAGAAGAAGAAAAAGAAAAGATAAGAGTTTAATGGGAAGCATAAGCACCCCTTTAAAGCCGATGAAAACACCCTAACATAAACACAAGATATAAAATAGTAACTCACACATCACCATGAAAAAAAAAAAAAACCAGACAATTCCAAAACACAGAATAAAACTACCATTCGGGATTCTTAAAAAAGTCCATGTCATGTGGGGAGAAAAGGGGGACAGAACTGTTCTAGAGAAAGAGACCAAAGAAAGATAAAACACCATAAGGTAATGTGTGAAACTAGACTCTATTCTGGTCAGGAAAAAAAAAGAGTAACATTCTTTGGACAATTGGGAAACTTGAATATGAATTATATATTAGATGATTTTAGAAATATTGCTAATTTTAAAGGTCTGTTAAATGTACTGGGTTTATGTAGGAGAATGTTCTCATGTTTAGGAATTATCATACTAACAAGTAATGGTGTCTGTAATGAATTTCAAATGGTAGAGTAAAAAAAAAAGTGTGTGTGTATATATGTAGACAAAGAGAATCAACTGTAGCAAAATGTTTGCTAACTGTTCAACCTAGAAGGCCTCTATCTGTTCATTGTACTTTTTTAAGTACATTTTTTTTAAGCTTTTTTGTGTATTTTATCTAGAATATATCAATACTTTGTATGTACTTTGTATATATGTGTGCACACACATTTCTTTCTGGATATACAAACACCTTGCTATCTATCAGGCAATCTTGCCAAAATATTGCAACCTGAATTTACATGAAATACAGAGGACAGAGGATCATGTAAAACCATACCCCGTGGGCATGCATTCAGTAAAATCCACAATGTAGACAACTCTACAGGACAAACAATCCAGTTTTTTCAACAAATAAGTTGCAAATGAAAAAAAGGATGGACAGGAAACCTATAGCTTAAAAGGAACTAAAATGCTGTATCAACTAGTCACAATATATGATAATATCTGAATCCCAATTCAAGCAATACCAAACAAAGTAATTACACATTTTATGAGATAGATGGATGGATGGACATCCGTACATACATAGGCTATATATTTCATGATATAAAGAAATTGTTTTAAAAATAATAGGTGTGGGGGCGCCTGGGTGGCTCAGTCGGTTAAGCGTCTGACTTCAACTCAGGTCACGATCTCGCGGTCCGTGGGTTCGTGCCCTGCGTCAGGCTCTGGGCTGATGGCTCAGAGCCTGGAGCCTGCTTCTGATTCTGTGTCTCCCTCTCTCTCTGCCCCTCCCCCGTTCATGCTGTGTCTCTCTCTGTCTCAAAAATAAATAAACGTTAAAAAAAAATTTTTTTTTAAATAATAGGTGTGATAATTGTACTGAGGTTATGTTTTTAAAAGGCCTTATCTTTGAGACACATAGAGAGCTGTTTACAGATGAAGTGACAACAGCACATAGAACCATATATAACACAGGAGGGGAGCAGGTAGATGGGGATATAGATAGGGCCAGGGGTGCCGAGAGGCTAAAGGCTGCCAGGCCCAGGGGCTGTGTACAGGAGGCTTGAGCACACTGTTGTGTTTAGTATTAGGAATATCTGAATTCTCCTGATAATAAAAAGTTTTTTTAAGTCATGAAAAATGCGCATTTCTGAACCCCAGTCCAAACCTGGGGGAGAGAGGGTACCATAATGTTTTCAAGTTAAGATTTATGATAAATCTGAAGAGTGAAATACTATTTCTAAAGCTTTTTTTACTGATGAGAACATTTTACAGTTTATCCAAATAAAAGCAGGGAAGCATAAAGAGAGTTTGGGAGTATCAGGGAGGCTAACTTTCCTGATTCTCACGTCCGTCTCCTCAGAAGATCACATTTCCCTCCAAATAATCCGAATATAACAGAAATTCAAAGTAGCAACACATTAAATATACATTACAAGAATTGAAAGAAAGAAGGACCAACATGCTAAAATGATAAGGAATGTCACAGTGACACCCGTTCTTAGTGGTTTAAGGGTAGAAAATAGGTGAAATATTTACTGCAGCTCGTGTAGCTCACATTTAAGTTTCCCTCTACAGAATGCAATTAATGAGCACATTTAAGGCTAACTACATCATTTTGACAAGTCTTAGGCAATATGAAATATAAAACCCAAACGTTATTCAAGTATAAGCCTTAACTAAGCCCTAATTAAATATATGTTCATAAAACAAAAAAAAGTGATACTTAAAAATTTTTTTCCCCTTGTTACTTTTATTTATAAAATCTCAAAGTAGTGAAATTTTTTTCCTCTTCAAATTACTGGTTACCTTTAATCCTTTCGAACAAGTATTCCTGATTGGGTGTAAGGTCTAGATACTGCACAATTGTGTTCAAAGTCGGGATGAGAGGAGCTTTGACCAGAGCAGCTTGCTTCAAGCTAGTAATGCTAGCCTCTGTTAAAAACAAAGCACACAGGACACAGATTATTCTTCATGTGGGTCTCTTCCTTCCATAGGCGTTGAAGGAATAAGTGAAAGTAAGAATAGAATAGTTTATTTTCACGATGAGCATTATCTCCTTTACCTACAATTTATTTTATTTCTGGCATGGTGGCCAGATTTATAAACACACACACCACTTGCACACACACGCCAAAAGCAGCAGCCAGATCCATTCTGGTAAATCTATAGACAACTGATACAAAATTTTTTTGTGGGGTATGTATAAAAAGATACACGATAGCTTTCAAAATCAGGTTGAGTTGGGGTGCTTGGGTGACTCAGTCGGTTAGGTGACCGACTCTGATTTCGGCTCAGGTCACAATCTTTCAGTTGGTACGTTTGAGCCCCCAGTGGGGCTCTGCGTGTAGGGCTCATCGTTGACAGCTTAGCCTGCTTGGGATTCTCTCTCTGCCCCGCCCCTACTCAGCTTGTGAGAGCTCTCTCAAAATAAATAAACTTAAAAAAAAAAAAAAATG